AGTCAGGACCTAACCATAGTAAACCCCCCAGCAGGTTTTCAGAGGCAGTAAATTGCTCTGGAGGAAATTGTCCATCTTTGTCCTACAGAGCAGCTGGTAGATTTGAACCACATGCCCTTGGGTTGACAGAACAAGAAGCTGTTGTCCAAATGGAGGAAAGGAACACTGCATGATTTAAAATCAGGAGGAGTGTCAGGAATGTGTCTTTTCCCCATACCTATTCAGTCTGTATACTGAGCAAATAATTCATGAAGCCAAACTCTGTAAAGAAGAATGTGGCATAAGGATCAGAGGAAGACTCATCCACAACTACATTATACAGATAGCACTGCTGAAAGTGAGGAGGACCTAACACTAGTGCTGTAGAAGATCAAAGACTAACATACAATGTAGATTACATCTCAACATCAGGAAAACAGAGGTCCTTACCACTGGGTCAGTGGACAACAGCTTGGTAGAGAAAGAATTGAAACTGTCATTGATTTCATCTTACTTGGATCTGTAGTCAACACCTTTGATATCAACAGTCAGGGGATAAGGAGACAGTTTGCTTTGGGAAAGGCTGCTATCTGAATGTTAAGGTGTGCCTCATTCAAGCTGTTGTATTTTCAGTTACTTGTTACTTCTGAAAGCAGGACAGTGTGATGACAGAAGAAGAATTAATTGATGTTTTTGAGTTGTGGTGTTGAAGAAGAGTCCTGAATATTCTGTGAACTGCCAGAAGTACAAACAGATGTGTCTTGGAAAAGGTACAACCAGAGTAGTTCTTCTTGGAAGCAAATATGACTAAGCTTCGTCTCTTATATTTTGGATATGTTGCTAGGTGAGGCTCTTCCTTGCAAAGGCATATCATGCTTGGAAAGGTGAAGGGTAAGCAAAAGACAGGAAGACCTCCAACAAGGTGGATTGACACTGTGACTGCAGCAGTGTCTTCAAGTATTCGGATGGCACAGGACAGGACAGGGTTCAGAGCTGTTGTTCATAAGGTCACGAAGAATTTTGCTTGATTCGATAGCACCTAACAATAACAAGCCCTGCAGCCTCTGAAAACCCTGGGAGGGTCGGAGGTGGTGGTGGTGGTGGTGTGTGTATCTTTACACATATACAGATAATTTATAAGACAAGGAGCCATGGTGGCTTGAAGAGCTGCTAGCTGAACGGTTGGCAGTTTGTATCTTACCAACTACTCCTGAAGAGAAAGCTGAGAAGTCTCCTATCATAAAGATCTGCAACCTCAGAAACCCAAGGGAGTGTCCCTGTGAGTTGGAAATTTTTATTACCTGACAGCAGCATTCCTCATTTTCATCAGTGACTGTTCTGTGATGAGGAAGGCAGACCCCATAAACTCCAGGCCACAGAAGTTTGCTTCTTTGAAATCTGTAGATAGCAAAACCTAGAATTAGAATAGAGAGAGCTAGGGCCTGAAGCTGCAGAAGGGCACACCAGCCCTGCTGGGAGGAAGCTAGAAGGATCATTATCTGCTGATTCAAAACAAACAGCCAAGTTGAAAACCATAGACAAGATTTTAATTTTTTTTTCCATCCAGAGGAAATGTTGGTGAGACTTGAGGAATGCTTACTTGTTTTGACAGAAGTGCATCGTGCCTTGCAGGTCCAGACCTTCATGTGCTTTGTTTGTTAAATATTTAGGCCAAGAGAAATTGATAATGAGGAACAAAAGGTCCGAAAAGAAAGCAATCATTGGACTTGTACTTAATCACTTTTTATTTTCTCAGCTCTCAGTCATCTCATTAGCTGGTTGTGGTGCTTACATAACTTAATTAGGGAGTTCAGACAGCAGTGGGAATAGGAGGGCAAACTAAAAGGGTAACAGTTTAAAGTGGATCATGTGGAGATTCCTGGCATGGCTAGAGATGAAACCCATTAAGGACCTTATTCTAGAAGAAGCTCTTGACACTGATCATTTGTGAAAAGGAGGGTTTCCCCCTTCCCCATATACTGCAGTTGTGTACACTTAGACCTGCACACCTTAAGCACTGGGGCATCTGATCATCGGCTTGTGGAATTACTAACACTGAGCCACTTTGTAAAGGCAGACAAGGTTATTAACTTTAGCAGGAAATGAAAATTTGCCTTTAATATACATGTGAAATTGAATTGTCTGTAGCACAAAGCTTTGGAGATTACCCATGCAAAATGAGAAAACTAGCTAAATTTAAAATTGTCCTCAGTTACAGTGAAAAGTCATTTTACAAGCTGCATTTTCACTGCATTGAAATCCGTGAAGAGACTGGCTCTATTAATTTAGATTTAAACATAGGCTCTGTGTCTTCTAAAAATGGTAAATGAGATGGAAAATGTACTTTAAAAGGAAAAAATGAGTTTATGGAAATGCTGCAGGCAGGCAGGCAAGCTGCTATTCCACATCTCTGACTCTGCCCGGAGACCAGGCAGCTTCAGAGGGAGGGCTCCATCCTCTGTGACAGGCATTTGCAGTGAGGACATGCAGACGACGCCAGTTACACATCCTCAGCTTCAAGAGGGTATGCCCAAAGCAGAAGTCATTGGCAGCTTTTATGTTCCAGCTCCCAGAGTGGCTGGATCCTTCAACAGAGGGAAGAACATGAAGGAGGAGTTGAATATATGTTCCCAGATCTCAAGTCACTTCAGTAGTCATCCAGTACTTCTGCCTGCAGTAATCCTGGAGCAGAGATTTAACTGCAGGTAGTCCCTGGCTGTGTATCTTTAAGTGGAATTCGTATTAATTAAGTCTGAGGAGGTACATACAATTCTTACTTAGCTTTACTGCAAATCTCCATGTACAGCAAGTGAAGTGAATTGTAATTAAGTTGTTTTGAGTAGAAGTCATTTCATAGTGAGGGCAAATTTACATAACAGTAAATGGCAAGTAGGACTTATTTGTTAACTGCTTGAGTAATCAACCAATAGAAACTGTTGTCTTCTTGCAGAGGAAATGATTGTTTGTATAAAAAGAAATTGAAGTTGGTATCCTCTATCCTAAATTTCTTTAACTCCAAGAAAAAAAATTATTTTTATTACCCTTTGAATAAATAAAACTTACTTCATGGTTATCAAGTTAATTCTGTCTCATGGCAACCAAAGCTCCATTGTTTTCAATGTGGAAATTATCGAACAATATTATTAATATAACATGTAAGCAAAATGTTGTTGAAGATCATCCAGAATTGCCAAAAGTTCAAACTGTATTTAGAAGAGGCCGTGTCACCGGGGCTATCATTGCTAATGTTCAGATGAATCCTGATTGAAAGCAGAGAATACCAGAAGAATGTCTTTGTGTTTTATTGACCATGGAAAGGTATTTGACTATGGATCATATGTGGATCAATCTATGGTGACTATTAAGAAGAATGGGGATCTCGGGAATACTTCATTATGCTCATTCATATGAAACCTAGACCCAGACCAAGAAGCTCTTGGTGAACAGAACAAGGGAACACTGCGTGGTTTAAAACCAGGAAAGACGTGGGTCAGAGTTATATCCTTTCTGCATACCTAGTCAATCTAAAGGCTGAGCAAGTATGAAGATGGAGTTCTAGTGGCCTAGTGCTAAGAAGCTGTGCTGCAGTCCCAAAGGCACACGTCCAGTCCACCAGCTGCTCCTTGGGAGGAGGATGGGCAGTCTCTTCCTGTGTGATTACTGCCTCTGAAAACCTGCTGGAGCCTCCGTCAGCTATGAGTTGGCTCAAACTTGACAGCATGTGACAGCAGGATTGGAAGAATACCATAATCAACAGTTTGCATTATGCAGATGTCACAGCTTTGCTTGCTGAAAGTATGGAAATCTTGAACACTTGCTGCAGAAGATCAAAGACTGCAGCCTTCAATATGGACTGCATTTCAACATCAAGAAGACCAAAAAAACTCTCACCACTGGATTCCTAAGCAAGATCATGATAGATGGGGGAAAGAATGAAATTGTTGACGATTTCCTCTTCATGGATCCACTAGCAGTACACTTTGTATTGCTCGAGCAGTCAGGAGCGATCAAGATATCAGGTAATGTACTGAATTGGGAAAGTCTGTCAGGGACCCTCTCCAAGCTACTGAGGAGCTTTGATGTCAGTTTGAAGACCAAGGTATGATTGATTCAGGCCTTTTCAGTCACTTGTTGTTCGTCTCAGAGCTGGACAGTGAATAAGGATGACAGCAGGAGAATTGATACCTTTGAGTTGTAGTATTGGAGAAGAGCACGGAGTTTTGGGGAAAAGGGAAGTCAAAGCGGTCATAGGAGGCAGCGATGATGGCGTTTCATCTCACGTACTTTGTTGCTAGGAGAGATTGTTACTTGGAAAAGGACAGCATGGTTGGAGAGGTGGGTCAGTGAAAGACCCTCCACCAGATGGATTGACATCTGAATGCAGAAATGAATGCAGAAATGTCCTCAAGTATGTCCAAGATAATGACAGGGTTTAGATCTGTTGTTCCTAAGGTTACGGTGAGTCATATACAATTTGATGGCACCTAACAACAGCAGTAGTGAAGTTGGTAGATTCCAACCAGCAACCTTTCCGTGGGTAGCCTAACATGTAACACATGCCAGTAGAACTCCTTCATGAAAATAGTCATTTTATGTTGTAACTCTCAAAGTGGCTGGATCCTCAAGAGAAAAAAATGAGAGGAATGGAATATACTTCTTCAGGTATTATTTAATAATTATTTAATAACTATAATTATTGGTATATTGTTTGATAACTTACTTTGCCATTAAGAGGAATACATCAATATAATAGCCAATAAGCAATGTGGATTATTCCTAAACTGTGTGTCTGGTGATCAGGGTCTTAACAGTTTTTATTATTTTGCGTTGTAATGATGAATGAAACTGAGAACAAGTCAATAATTTACCTATTCCTGGTTCTTAAATGGGTTGGTAATCGAATTAAAGTCGCCTGAACTTATAAATGTAGGCCACACATTAAAATATTCTAGTCAACTTCTCTTTCCTCATCTTCTCCCCCTCGTGATCGGAGATGCCTTGTTTTTCTTTTTCATTTTTAGGGATTGCCGTACTTTACTTACACCTCTATGATCTGTTTGGGGACCCTGCCTACCTCCAGATGGCACACAGCTATGTAAAGCAGAGTCTGAACTGCTTGTCCAAGCGTTCCATCACCTTCCTGTGTGGGGATGCAGGCCCCCTCGCTGTGGCCGCTGTGGTGTATCACAAGATGAGGAACGAGAAGCAGGCGGAAGACTGCATCGCACGGTAAGCGCTTTCCATTACAGGAGGATTGTCTAAACGTTATGATGCACTCATTTTCTATATGCTGCAGAAGAAAAGTCTAGCAAATTCCTGCTTATGTCCCAGCAGATACAACTTCTTACCACTGTCTTTTGGTCAGTTCTAACATCATTATCATGATGTAGTTCAAGAACAACTTTTATCATCCCTGTTTTATTGGAAAATAAAGTGACACTGACAGTGTTCCAAGCCAAACATCAGTAACAGAAATGAGATAAAAATTTGATCACTTGACCGTGAATCTAAAGGCGGTCCAAGATCTGTAATTTGAAAACTACAGTTCACTTCCTGGCCTTTGAAGGGGCTGTAAACTGATGCTGAGCTGCCTTTCTGAGGGGCAAATGACTTGTGAGTCGGGATGTGGAGTTTTATAGGACTACAGGCTGCCCCCTCAACGCTTGTGGTTTATATAAAGAGTCACGAGTAAAGCCCAGTGCTTACCTCCCTGGGGCAGTGATGGTTCAGTGGGCGAATCCTTTCCTTTCCTGTAGGGGAGAGCAGGTCGAGTTCCTGGCCAATCAGTGCATCTCCTGTGTAGCCACCAACTGATGGTGGAGCTTTGCACGTTGGTGATGGTGTTGAACACATTTCAGCAGAGCTTCCAGACCGAAACAGATGAGAAAAAAAAGAGCTGGTGATCCAGTTCCAAAAACGGTCCAATTAAAATCTAGTGAGTTACAGGCCCCATTCATAACTAGTTTTATGGACCATGGTGCAGGACCAGCCAGCATTGCATTGTGTGGGGTGTCATCAACTTAGGGCCACCTCAACGACAACGAACAACAGTCCACTCAGGAAAGTTTCGTGAGCAGCGTTCTGCTGAAACAATCCGTCTGCCTGGAAATCTGCATTACGGTGCTGTTAGGCTCCTACCAGCAGTACTGACACACACATAGTTTTAATTCCAGCTACATTTTTTTTTATTGCAATATCCATAAATGCACTTTATTACACAGATCTGGGAGACAGTGAGTCACCTCCAAGACTGTCTCTCCAGCTACATTTTAACCAGTGATTTTCCCTGAGTTAAAAGGAGCCCAGCAGTTAAGCACTTGACTGATAACCAGAAAGTGAGTGGTTTGAACCCACCAGTTAGTCCAAGAGAGAGAGATGTAGCAGACTCTCCCCTGAAGATGGATGTTGGAAACCGTGTGGGTCATTTCTGTCTTACACGGCCACTTTGAGGTAGAATTGACTGTTTAATGGGTTTGGCCCTAAGTTGACTGTGGTTTGTGGTTCTTACACATTACTCAGAGCAGCCCAGTGTGTAACGGGATTCATTGCAGCCTTGTTTGACGCTGGCCCATTTTCACAGTCCCCACTGTGCTTAAGCCTGTGGTTGCAGTCACAGTGTCAACCCATCTCATTTCCATCCCTCTCTTTCCCTCCACCTCTCCAAGGCCTGACTTATCCTGACAACATGCCCAGAGTATGTGAGACCAAGTCTCGCCATCATTGTGAGTAAGGATTGTGTCTGCAGAGGACTCTGACCGCACTTTATCCAAGACAGATTAGCATAGCATGAGTTAGCTTCACCAGTTTGTGAGGGGTTTGTTTTTTAAGGGTTCCCTAATTTAAATATTAGTGAGCTATAATGGCTTAGTGGCAAGAAACTGTGCTGTAATCCTAAACTCACAAATTGGTGATGCTCACTATTGCTACTCTAATCAGTTTTGGATGAAGTGGGAGGATATCAATAATATCATCCATGAAGAATGCAATAGGTCATTACAAAGACAGATTAAGAAGAGGAGCCAAAATGAATGTCAGAAGAGACTCTGAATATTGCACTAGAGTGCTGAGAAGCCAAAGCAAAGCAAAACAATCAAGATGAAAGGGCTGAACAGAAGATTTCAGAGGGCAGCACAGGAAGACAAAAAAAATTATGAAATGTGCAAAGAGCTGGAGATGGAAAATCAAAAGGGATGACTCAGCATTTTTTAAGCTGAAGAAACGGAAGAACAAATTCAAGCCCCAAGTTGCAATACTTGATAAGGATGCTGTGGACAGAATGCTGAATGATCTAGAAAGCATTAAAAAAGGAAGGAGTACACAGAGTCACTATATCAGAAAGAATTGGCAGATAGAAGAATTTCATGAAACAACGTATGATCAAGTGGTGATGAAGGAGGAAGTTCATCCTGCCCTGAAGAAATTGGAAGAAATAAGGCCCCAGGAATTGACGGCATACCAGTTGTCATATTTCAGCATACATGTTGCACTAGATACACTCACCAAGTTGTGCCAAGAAATCTGGAGGACAACCCCACCTGGCCAGCTGACTAGAAAAGATTCATATTTATTCCCATTCCAAAAAAAGGTGATCCAATAGAGTGTGGAAATCATTGAGCAATATCATTAATACCACATGCAAGCAAGAGCCTGCTGATAGTTATCCAAAAATGACTGCCAGATGTGCAGGCTGGGGTTAGAAGAGGCTGTGGTACTAGCAGTATTACAGCCAATGTTAGATGGATCTTGGCTGAGAGCAGAGGTATCAGAGGAATGTCTGCCTGTGTTTCATTGACTGTGCAAAGGTATTTAACTATGTGTATCACAGCAAACTGTTGCTAACTCTGAGAAGCATGAGAATCCCAGAACCTTTGACTGAACTTATACAAATCCTATACTTGGACCAGGAGGCAATCCTCAGAACAGAGTAGGGAAACACCGAATGGTTCAAAACTGGGAAAGATTTATGCCCGTGATGCATTCTTTTTCCAAACCTTTTCAATCTATATGCAGAACATATCACCCAGGAGACTGGGCTCTGTAAAGAGGAATGTGGCATCAGGATTTCAGGAAGACTCATCCCATGGACTGCCAAAAGAACAAACAGATAGGTCTTGGGAAAAAGGCAGCTAGAGTTCTCCTTGAAGGGAAAGATGACAAAGCTTTATTTCATTTTGGGCATGTTGCTAGGAGAGGCTTTTCCCTAGAAAGGGACATCATGCTTGGAAAGGTGGAGGGTTGATGAAAGAAGGGAAGACCCTCAATCAGATGGATTGACACAGATGGCAACCACGGGCTCATGTGTCAGAGATGATGAAGATGGCACAGGATTGGACAGGGCTCAAGTCTGTGGTTCATCAGGCTACTGTAAGTCATATTCAGCATCACAGAACCTTTTAACAACATTGCTGCCTAGATGTCTGCCTTGGAGGAAGTGCGACCAGGGTGCATTTAGAGGCTGTGATGGTGAAACTTCATCTCATGTACTTTGGGCATGTTGTGAGGAATGGAAGTCCTTAGAAAACAACATCGTGCTGGGAGAGGTGGAGGATCAGCAGAAACAAGACCGGGATGGATTGACTCAGTGGCTGTACCAGTGGGCCGCAGGTCAGAGATCGTGAGGATGGTGCAGGATATGGCAAGGGTCGTTTTAGTTGAATAGACTTGATATGAGTTGACTTGAAAGCACCTCACAACAAACGGTGATGGCGTGGTGAGTTATTTTTGGACTGCTAAACAAAGGGTCAGTGGTTCAAACCCTACCCCCCATCCCACAGCAAAAATATAGGCCGTTGCCTCCCTTAAAGACTTACAACCTCAAAACTTGATGGAGGGATCTTAGGTCTCAGTAATGACAGTAGTATTATTGTACTAAGTATATTTTATCATTACATTTTTAGCCTAAAATTATATAGTGCCTCTGAAACAGAAGTAAGTGGAAGGATTAACCAAACTTAAATCTGTTCTTTTGAAGCCTAAGAGGTTAGAAGTGTGAATGTAGCGTGCTGGCTCTAGAAGACTCTCGGTTGATTCTGGAGAAAGGTCCTTCTGTCCTTTCAGTATAGATAGGCTGGCATTTCCTGATGACCTTGTGTCTTGGCATCAATATTCTCCTGGATCTGGGAGGTGCACTTGGCAGAGATCATGGATCCCAAGGACAAGCTCCGTGCCTAGCTCTCCTTTCTTGGTGGTAGTGAGGTCACCTGCTCTGATGGCTTCTAGCTACTTTTATCTCTTCTAAGATAAAAGGTGTTACAGGCCAGCCTCTAGAAAACTCCTCTTACATCAGATCAGAGTAGTAATAGGATTAAAGATGTCACTGTTGTATATCCTTCATTCTCTTAATTTTTTACAGCTAATTGGTTTATCAGGGCCCGAGTAGTGTTGATTGTTATAATGGTACATCATTGGGTCCAAAGCGGTGAGAATCATGGCCCAGTCAAGCATGCACATATTTAAGGAGAGAGAATATTTAATCCATGACACTTGGTCATTGATTTGATTTTGCACAGTTCAGAAATTTCTTTTCAGTTACAGAGTTAACCTCGTCTTTGACATCTCCTCCCTTGTAAGGGAAAAATATATGTCTTTTCAATTCAGTTTGAGGAAGTCTGAAATTATTCATGTCACCAGTTATTTAATAAACCTGCTTCCTCAGTAGTGGTTGTTTTGCTTCTTCCTGGTTCTCTTTTCTTATAACTCAGCCCTGTAGTGACAACAGACCCTCAGATTCTTTGTTGTCTGCAACAACTGGGCTCCACTGACAACATCAGAGCCTGGTTTATGTCTCCCACGTTTGTCTGAATATCCATGAGTCATAATCTCAAGTTTTAGAGACCAGAAGAGCCATTGTGAAGTAAAGTCAAATCCTTCCATTATCAAGATAGACAAACTAGAATCAAAGAAATCCGCTCAGACTGTTAGCGTTTGACCCTGAGATTCTTAGAGCTCCCAGAGGTAAGTAAAATGTCTAATTGTATTCAATGTGGAAAGAATATTGAAACTTCTCTCCAGAATAAGAAACCCTAACCCAGTATTACAAGGTTCTGTAGCTCTGGAGAAGGTGGTCTGCTTACTGTCAAGATGAGTATATGTTCATATGAAATTGGCCTGTTTGTCCTCGGTAAAGACATCACACTAGGGAGATGGAGAGCCAGCATAAGAGAAGAAAGCCTTCCAGAAATGGATTGGCCGATACTGTAACGATACGCTTCAGCATGACTGAGATGGGC